TTTTGCGAGCAACTTTTTCGAACTTCTGCAACAACGGTTGCGCACCTGCCAGGGCCATCATCCCTGTCAAATAATACCATGCGGGACACATTCGTTTTTTCTTCGCGCGCGCACGCCGAAATCTCCAAAAACCATTGGGCTTCTTAAGAATTTTAGCACCGCGCATCATAAAATCACACGAATCGCACCGTAGGTCCTCGAAAAACACCTGCACGACTTTTCAAAATTTCTACCCGCGCGCGCTGTCCGAATCCTACGTACGTATCATGTGAGTACGTATCATGTGTATCATGTGTATCATGTACCATATGCATCATATGCAACAGATGTTCTGTGGAAGGCTTAACAACTTCTGTGGGTTAACAAGGCTTAACAACTTCTGTGGGTGTACGAACGTAGGCTTAACAACTTCTGTGGGTGTGTACTCCACGCCAGTGTAGTAGCCACGGTCGTCCGCAGGCCACGAAGTGAAGTGTCCGAACGTCATAGGGCGGGAAGCTGGGTGTGGGTGGTGGCGAAGAGTCGTGTGGATATTTGGTAGAGCTTGCACTGCCCCCCCACAAAGTGGGGGTATTGGCTGGCGTCGCATGAAAACCCTGGCACTGGTGAGAACACTGAGCGTTCGGGTAAAGTGATTGTTGTTGTTGTTGTTGTTGTTGTTGTTGTTGCTGTTGTTGCTGAAGCTAGCTTTCCCACAAAACCAGCGCTCCTGCTCGATATTTCCTTGGTTTTTACTCAGGACCGGCGCTCCCGCCTCGGCGCCGCAGACGCCCCCCTCGGCAAGCAACGACGTTCCCGCTCGATGCGTCTGCCGTTGTTACTCGAGGCTCCCAGAGGCCCTTGGGTTTCCCTGGCTCCTACAGTCGGGGGCTTGACCTAAGGAACGATAAATAAGGAACGAGGCCCCTTTTCCCCATGAGTAACACTCCGATGTTCCATGGAAAACCTCAGGAAAACCCAAGGAGCACTGTAAAGCAATTAAGGAACACGGAACCCCTCCCCAACAAAAAGGGTTCCTTCTTCAGGGCCCCGACTGTAGTGCCGACCTTCGAGAATGCAGCATGCACTGTCGGAGGTCAGCACGGGTGCCTCCCTGGCGCGCTCCGCGTGCCAGGGGCGGCCCGAGTGGTGGCGGGGCTTCTCCGAGGCCCTCTGGCTTTCTAGGGGGTGGTCCGTGTCTTCGGGGAGGGCTTAGAACACTTCTCAGAAGGCCCGAGGCCGTCGAGCCTTCTGAGAAGGCCCGCCCCCTCTCACTTCCCTGCTGGACTCGCCGCCGAGTAATGGGGGAGCGATAAATGGGGGGATGAAGAAGGGTGCACTTTGTGCCCCATAAGGGGCCCGAAAGGGTCCCCCCTGGGGCCCAAAATCGTGTGGCAGAGCGTATCAGCGAATCCTGATCAGAACTATCAGATCTGAAGTTTCACAGAGCAGCGCTGCGGCGCGTGACCACCTTCCCCCGGGGCGGGCTTATGCCCGGCAGGGTGTCAGTTCAGTTCAGTTCCTGGGGCCCGAGAGGGGCACCTTCCCCCCTCCTGCGTGGGGCGCGCCGGCAGCATCCTGGAGGTGCAGGGAGGTCTCCGGGGCCCGCGCACGCCTCCCGGGGGGTGGGGGATGGGGCCGCGCCCGAGGCGGCCTGGGCGGGGGCCGGGGGTCGCGAAGGGGGTCGCGCGGGGCCAGGCTGGATGCGAGCGGTTGCGTTGTTTGCGTTTCATGCCAAATCCAGAGATCGAGGATCTGATTTTTAAATGTGGCATGTTTTCCTGGATTTCGGCTTCCAGGGCCCGTTGTCGGGCCCCGGGACTATGAAACATGCATCTGGGACGATAAGCCACCTCCAGGGGAAGGGGTCGGGACCTCTGGCGCCGCGGGTTGAACCAACCATGTCGGTGGATGTCTCGGGAGTCACATGTTCTCCGCGCTAGAGGACACGCGCGAAAGCCATGCTACCGTGAAGACCATGTCGTCCACCGCTGGCTTTACCGTTGCTTCGGGACGGCGCCACTCGCCTTGGGAGAGGAGGAGGATGCGGAGCGAGGAGGAGGAGGAGGAGGAGGAGGAGGAGGAGGAGGAGGAGGAGGAGGAGGAGGAGGAGGAGGAGAGGAGGAGGAGGAGGAGGAGGAGGAGGAGGAGGAGGAGGAGGGGAGGGAGGAGGAGGAGGAGGAGGAGGAGGAGGAGAGGAGGAGGAGGAGGAGGAGGGAGGAGGAGGAGGAGGAGGAGGAGGGAGGAGGAGGAGGAGGAGGAGGAGGAGGAGCGAGGAGGAGGAGGAGGAGGAGGAGGAGGAGGAGGAGGAGCGAGGAGGAGGAGGAGGAGGATCAGGAGAAGGTTGAGGAGGTGGGAGGGGGCGGGGGGCGCGCGGGCGGGGAGGCCGCCGGGGCCCGGCCTGCGGGTCCTTTGCGGAGGCCTGCGGCCCAGCGCGTGCCCACGAGGCCCAGGCCCGGGGCGGCGCGCTGAGCCTGGAGCCGTCTGGGGGTCAGAGGTGGCCCAGCACTGGCTTGAAGTCGGGCCTGTCCCTCTACGGGAGGGAGATTCCCAGATATTTGAAAATGCGCAGGGGATGATTTTTTTTTTTGGGGGGGGGGGCTATTTTTGATTTTTCCAGCCTTTCTTATATATATAAACATTTTTTACATTAACTTTAAATTTTTATATATTCAATTGCCCAAACATCTCCCCGTAGGAGGACAGGCCCCACTTACCACTGGCTCTGGCCAGCAGCAGCGGCGGGCGTCCGAGGTTCTGCTTTCGGCTGCTTCCGGGGGCCGTTTCCGGGCCCTGGGGCCGCGAAGAGCGGATCTGGGGTGAGACGTTGCCCCGTATGGGCCCTGGGGGAGGAGGAGGAGGAGGAGGATGAGGCGGAGGAGGCAGAGGAGGAGGAGGAGGAGAAGGAGGAGGGGGAGGAGGAGGAGGAGGAGGAGGAGGAGGAGGAGGAGGAGGAGGAGGAGGAGGAGGAGGACGAGGAGGACGAGAACGAGGAGGACGAGGAGGAGGAGGAGGACGAGGAGGAGGAGGAGGAGGAGGAGGAGGAGGGGCTGGGAGGGGTCCGGGGACGGACTTTGAGCGGATTGGTCTCCATCCCCCCCAGACAATTTCTTGTGGTCCCAACTTGGCATCGCTCGGACGTGTGCATTTTTCCTTCGGCGAGGGCCATCGAGGAGCATCCTTCATCATTTGGCGAAAAAACCACGCGGCATGGACGTCCGAGCGATGGCGAGCCAACCAGTACAGGCCCCCTGGCCGCCTCCACAGCTAAACGGTGTTTGGGCGCCTTCGTGGCCCGTGTTCGCTGTGATGTACAATGGAGACCCAGGCCAAGAAACCGCCTGCTTGCCTCCAGGGTGCCCTGGGTTTCTTGGGTTTCGATTGCTTTGCGATGGAGAGCGTGACGCTCCCACTCCCAGAATCGAGGGACGTCCTGGGGTCTCAGGGTTGGCTTTCTTGTGGAAGGTTTCTTGTGGGGGGGAGGAGGAAGATGCAGAGGAGGTTACGGAGGAGGAGGAGGAGGAGGCGGAGGAGGAGGAGGAGGAGGAGGAGGAGGAGGAGGAAGATGCAGAGAAGGTGGAGGAGGAGGAGGAGGAGGAGGAGGAGGAGGAGGAGGAGGAGGAGGAGGAGGAGGAGGAGTTGGCTCAAGGGTTCCTGCAGCAGCAGTGGGGCGAGGACAGAGCGGGGGAGGGCGAGGGCAGGGCGAGAGCGGAGAGCACCGTCCCGCTCGAGCCCTGTCAGGAGGGGAAAAAATCATACAGACAATGAATCGTCGATCTCCCAGAAAGTGTCAAAAATAAGGGAAGGGGGGGGGGGGAAGACAAAAACTCATAAGATATGGCAACATATTGGGGATCCTGTTGTTTGTGTCTATTTATTTGTGTGTCCCAGGGCCCCTTCACCCTGGCTCAGACCTCGACCCCCCGCTCTTCTCGGAGCCTCTGGGCCACGGGGTCTCCTCCGCAGACGGCCCTCCTTCACGCCGCCGCCGTGCCTTGCCAGGGCCGTCCTGGGCTCTCGGGGTGTCGCGAATAATAATAATAGTAATAATAATACTAATAATACTACTACTACTACTAATAATAAGAAGAAGAAGAAGAAGAAAAAGAAGAATAATAATACGAATAAGAAGAATAACAATACGAATAATAAGAATAATAATAAGAAGAATAAGAATAATAAGAAGAATAATAATAATAATAATAAGAAGAATACGAAGAAGAATAAGAATAATAAGAAGAATAAGAAGAATAATAAGAAGACTAATAATAATAACAATAATAAGAAGAATAATAATAAGAAGAATAATAAGAATAATAAGAAGACGAAGACGAATAATAAGAATAATAATAATAAGAATAAGAATAATAATAAGAATAATTAATAATAATAAGAATAATAAGAATGATAATAAGAATGATGATACTAATAGTAAGAATAATAATAATGATAAGAAGACGATGAAGAAAAAGAAGCCTCCCGGCCAGGGCCAGAAGGGCGGAAGCGCCATGCCGGGGCCCAGGATGGCTCTGGACAGGCACGGCGGTGGCGACTGGCCCCGGCGCGACAGCGGTGGTGCGCATGTCGCGGTGTTAGAGTTCGGAGCGGCTGCCAGCGTTGCTCGGTTGCCAGGTTGCTGAGTGCGTCCTCCCAGGCGGGGACCAAGGCTGGGATTGCCCTGCTTCGGGGGTGCTCACGCTTTTGCCTTCCCCGCCCTTTCCACCCCCCACGCATACATGCAGGCCGTGAACATCTCGGTCGCACGAGAGAGATGGGCAGGTTCCCAAAGTCTTTGGCAGGGCCGAGCGGGCAATCCGGCAGCGATGGTGTTCTTCATGGAGTGGTCGTTTCGAGGATAGCTTTCCTGCTCCTGCTCTTCCTGTCCTCCTCCTCGTTCCTCGCTCCGTGCCTCTTGCCCCTGGGGAGTTCGGTGCTCTGGCTGGCTGCGTGCTGGGGGCCTTCGCCTCGGCGTGCTCTCTGATTGCTCAGGCACCGCCGCGCCTCGAGTCGGGGGGGGGGAGGCGGCGGCGTCGCGCCCAGCTGGCTGGTCGGCGACGTGGGCGATGCGGACGGTCGCGAAGTGGCCCGGATTGCCAACCAGATGCTCGCCGCGGAGGAGCGCAAGCTCGCGAAGTGAGGGGCCGCGCCGGAGGCTTTTGCAGGCCCCCCAAAAGAAGACATGCGCCGACGGAACGGCCCCACACGAGAATATCCTTACTGTGAATCAGACTCGCCCTCACCGACAAGTAATGAGTGTGATGATGCCAAGATGCGAGAATGCCAGGTTGCGCCGCGTGGGACCTTTGAGACCTGTGGGGCCCATGGGAACTGTGCGACATGTGGGGCTTGTTGGACCTGCGGGCCCCATAGGGGGCTCCCGCTCGAGACTTCTCGCTCTGCACTCATAGACGAGGCCCCCCGCTCGAGACATCCTCACGATTTGCGCCCTTGGGGTGCTCAAGTACTATGCCTGCTACAGTAGGCCAATGACCCGCTCGGATTACCAACATGATCTACAAGCTCCCTAGGGAGGGGGCTTGGGAGGGGGCTTGGCCTGAGATTTCCTCGCAATTCGCTCACAGACGAGGCTCCCGCTCGAGACGTCCTCACGATTTGCCCCATTGGGGTGCTCAATTGCTAGGCCTACGACAGTATGCCAATGACCCGCTTGGATTGCCAACACGATCTGCGGGCCACGTAGGGAGGAGGCTCCATCTGAGACTTCGTCGCAATTTACTCGCAGACGAGGCCTCGAGACATGAGTGTGTGAGTGTGTGAATGATTGATTGATTGATTGATTGAGTGAGTGAGTGAGTGTGTGTGTGTGTGTGTGTGTGGTGGGTGTGCGATTGCGGTGGTAGCGGTGCTGATGCTGATGAGTGATGAGGATGGTTGTCCATGATCCTGACGGGATGGTAAGTGATGGTGGTGGCAGTATGATGGTGATGGTGAGTGTGAAACGAGGTGAGGAGGAGAGGGGGGCTGAGGACTGTTCTCCTCCGCGGTGTGTGTGTGTGTGTGTGCAGAGAGAACAAGAGACCCCACTTAGGATTTGCGGAATCAGACCCTACCCTCTGGCAGCCTCGTCCCAGATCCTCGGTCCAAGCATCTCGATCCTTGTCCACAGATCTCGATTCCCCGCCCTTGAGAACAACATGTGTAAGGCATCTACGCTCCACAGCAGTGCCCGATCAGGGGCCATCCTGGGCCCCGGCATGGTCCGCACGCCCTCCCGTCGTGGTGGCGGCGCACATGCGTTTTACGGGCGAGTAAGGAGGAGGAGGAGGAGGAGGAGGAGGGAGGAGGAGGAGGAGGAGGAGGAGGAGGAGGAGGAGGAGGAGGAGGAGGGGGAGGAGGAGGAGCGAGGAAGATGCCGAGGACAAGGGCAAGGACGGTACTGCGTCTGTTGATGCTTCTTCCTCGCCTTCACTGCACGCCGTTGCAACTGCGCCACCAGGGCACCACCTCCTCCTGGCGCCTCGTTTTTTGTATGTACGACTCAAACTTGACGCCGCGCCGACTGCCCTGTTGACCTGCAGCGCCCTGACTCTGGAAGCCCCTGGCGCGCAGGCAAGTCCAGAGGACGAGGGGTACGTACAGTCAATTCGCTGAAATGAGAGTCGCTTTGAATTCGGAAGGGGCTCGCTGTTCCTCAGGGTCATTCCGTGGTTGTTCCTCTAGCCTTCTTTGTGCACCCAGGCGCTGTTGTTGCCAAAAAGGGCTTCGTTCCTCATTTATCGGCCGCGAGCTTGGGGGGGAAGTCAGAAGGGGCGGGCCTTCCCAGAGTGCTCGGACCCCCCCCGGCCTTGAGAAGTTTTCGAAGCCTTCCCCGAAGACACAGAAAATCTTGCAGAAGACGCGAGGGCTTTGAGAAGCCCCGCCACTCTCTGAGAAGGCCTTCTCCTTCTCGCTTCCCCTCCTTGCTCGCCGCCGAATTTAGCGTTCCTTATTTCAGCAGCCCCTCTGTAGCAGGACCTCGACCCTCGACCCTCGACCCACGAGGAGGCGGCCCCCCTTCGGCAGCCGTTTCGTGCAGCCCCCTCGCAGCCGCAGCACCCCCGGCGCCCCCGTTCGCGCCCGCCCTCTCTCGCCGAAGGCGCGCGGCTCGTAGTTTTAGTCGTCGTCGTCGTCGTCGTCGTCGTCGTCGTCGTCGTCGTCCAGCGCGCGTGGGAGGAGGAGCAGGAGGAGGAGGAGCAGGAGGAAGAGGAGGGGGAGGATGACCCGTTCCAGCCGAAGACGCATCAACGATGCTGCAACACACTCTCCCCCCAATTCCCTCTTCATACGTCCCTACAAGACTTTCTATTCATTGCTGGATGTGCCTCATTTCATTAAAGGACAACTGTCTACGAATCTCCCATCGTCCCACATCACCGTTCCCGGGACGTCGACGCCGCGAATCGACGTCACTGAGGCGCGGGAGCAGTCATACACCGTGCCAGAACAGCACCACTGCGAGTCAACGTGACTGGTGCGTCCTGGCAGTCCTACAGCTGACTGGAGCAGCATTCCTGGGATTTTGAACCCTACGACTCCTTGACGAAGGGCCCCGTTCTCAGGAGGAGCCGCCCTCCACCCTTGAGGCTGTGGAATCCTTCCAAGGGCGAGTGTGCGCGGCGCTAGGGCGAGAGCCAACTTTTGAGCACGAGCCTCCTCCTCCTCCTCCTCCTCCTCCTCCCTCCTCCTCCCTCCTCCTCCCTCCTCCTCCCTCCTCCTCCCTCCTCCTCCCTCCTCCTCGCCCTCCATCCTTGAAGCTGTTGGGAACTCTTGAGACGAGTGTGCCCAGCGCTGAGGCGAGAGCCACATTTCGAGCGGGAGCCGCCCCCCATCCTCGAAGCTCTTGCGCACTTCGGAGACGAACGTGCGCCGCGCTCAGGCGAGAGCCACATTTTGTAAATGACCCGCCCTCCACCTTTGAAACGGTTACGGCAGGTTCGCGTCGTGTCGACCGGCGGCGACCCCGTCGCCGGCGTTCAACGTTGAACGCCGCCGGCGACCCATAATCGGTCGATGTTGAACGATCTGACGTTTTGGAAACGCCCGATCGTTCAAGGTTGCACGATCCAGCGCGGTGTCAGAAACCAACGCTGGGGTCGACACGACACGAACCTGCTGTACAAATTCTAGACGCCTCTTGTATCCCCACCAGCCGGTGGCATAGCCGGTGGCATAGCCTGCCCCTGCTCGCCCGGCGTTCGACCCGTTTCGCGCGCCCGCGTACCAATACAGCATCCCCACCAGCCCATCCCGAAACGATGTCCAAGCGAGTTGAGATGATCAGGGAAGTGCGGGAGCAAGGAGGTGGACGGCCGAACCGTGCGAAGGAAGGAGGAGGATGAGAAGAAGGAGGCTGGATGCATGGATGAGGGAGTGGGGGGAAAAATGATGAATATGATGATGAGGAGGACCAGCGCTCAGACTGAAGATGGGAGTTCGGCCGTCCTGGGCATCTTTCCGCTGCCCCTCTGGGGGGCTTTCACGGCAGACGACAGGGACAACCACAGAGACAGGCGGATGGCTCTCGTCTCGTGAAACGATCCAGGCTTACAGCTCCCTACTCGGATTGCCAATCTCGAGGTCGGTAGGGGCTGTCTCAGCTAGTTCTTTGGCCAGCTGGGCCAACGGGATCGGTGCTTTCAAAATTATCTGCGAAATCGCGGCTCCCTTGGGATGTCTACCCTCCACAGCACGCTGCTGTTGCAGCCTTCTGCCATGGTTCGGGAGCTTGCCTGGGCAATCATCTTGAAATCCGCGCGTGTCTTCCGGGAAGGTTCCGCATTTCCAGCTCAGGATTACACGAAGCGGGGTATATTCATCAGCATAGCCGAAAAAATAGGGCACATGTCCGCGGGGATTATGCACTAAGTCGGCGTGGCTCTGGCAGAATCCTGGGCAGGTCTCTCGGGCTCTGCGCTGCATCGCAGCGTGACTGCCGCATCGTTGTCTACAAGCTGCGCACAGGAAACTTTTCCCCCAGGGGTGCTATTGGTGCTTTCTCGATCGTTCCGTTGCGCAGTCGGGGGGGGGGACTCACAGGCGAGGAAGGAGGAGGAAGGCCCCGAGAAGGTCCAGCCGCTGCCGCCCCAGTGGGCGGGTTCAAACTCTGAATAGGCTTGTCGAAAGCTTTGGCACCAACCCTGGGGGCAACTGTTGGCCACAACTGCAGGGCCTCTGAAACATAGCGAAGATACTTAGCTAACAGTTTGTTCTGCTGCTCCTGGGCATTCAATTCATTCTGGCTAGGTCGCGAGGCTCGCTCAGCTGCGATCTTGGCATATTTGTCGGCAGCATCGTTGCCTATAGCCCTTCTCAGCTCAGAAATGTTGACGTGCGCTTTAATCTTGCTCAAACGCGGCCCCAGGGGGGGATCGAACACGCGCTGCCAAGGACCTTGAAGGCCCCATACAAATCGATCCTGGCACAATCGGCATTCCTATGCACGTCTATGGCTCCTTGGTTATCTACATGCATATGGGCGTGTGGGTGAGCGTTGAGGCCAGCAGCAAGCACAGCGCAGTGCTCAGCAGCAGGGAGGAGCAGAGGAGGTGATTGCCCACGCGCCCGATTAGGTAGGCGAAAACTTCTCCGTGCCCATCGATCGAGACGACCGACCAGCCCGCTGTGTTATATACTTTATGCCCCCCTGGTTTCAGGCAGGACCCGTCGCAGAAACACATCCCCAGCCAGGGCCCCCTCAGGCCTAAGGCTGGGGTCTCTGCACCAAAACCCGGCGTATTCAAAACCAAACCCTCAGGAGCCCCGTTACCGAATTCAGGTTGGAATTGATCCCCGTGTGCTAATGCCAGATCAGACACCCTCGAATTCGTGCCAAGCTCGTCTGTCGTAAACGGCCCTCTTGGGGCGGCGCTGAGGGGGCAGTGCAGGAGGCGATGCTTCAAATCATCTCTTTCGTGCCCACGCTGGCACCGGCCGTCTGTATCATAGCCCGCGCTCTGCAGGCGCGCGTTGGTCCAGATGCGTTGGGTGAGAAAACTAAGTGGGGTGGGTCTGGCTTCTTGGGTGAAGTAGGCTCCACCACTATTTTCCTAGCTATGTCCACATTGAGGGTCTCCAGGGGGTGTTCTAGCTTCTGGGCTGCCTTCCTCAGGGCGACCTGTTCCCAGGCCTCCTGCATCT